AAATTGCTTTTGCGTCGACGGATTTTGCAGCCAAACCTCCCCCACTCCTCCCCGCTTTTCTAAGAGTTTCCCATTATCTTTTCGTTCTGTTGTCGCAGTTCAAACGTATCTATACCTTGATATTGTCTAGGAGGAGTCGCGTGCAGCAGGTTTATCGCCATTTACTAGAAACCAACGAGTCAAGACTGCCGACAAAGAACTTCCTGAAACTTTTCGTGGGTTTCCAAAATTCAATCGATACCCAAAGTGGCGGAAGAAGTACCCAGTAGGTTCTGCGCCAAACACAAGCAGCATTTAGACAAGACCTGGGAATCCCTGACGCGTTCAATTAACTGTGTCAGCCACTAACAGGTGTTTAATGCTCATATTTGGCAGTCAACACGTACCAATTTCTCGCTTGATCCTTGCCAGACGAAATTTTTGCAGCGTGTCACATTTCTGTGGTCTTTTAGAATGCAATTTAGAGCCAGTATGAGACCTCATCCTGGTTTCTGCGACAAGGACGTGATAATTTTTTTTTAACCCACTTTTTTGACTAATTAAAAGGAGAACGTTATACTTTATTTTAGACCACAAATTATATATATAATTAAAAGCTGAAAAACTTTTCTTCGCACATTTTTAGGCCGTTACTACATGAGGGTACCTGGGGGAGAAAGGTTCCTAAGTGGCATATGTCCAATTTTCTTAGTCGACGGACGTGTTAAGTCTAAAAGGAAAAGATAAAAATAGAAGAAAAAGTAATAGTAACAGGAGATTAGGTCACTTAATTCCTTCATATCCCATGCTTAGACCTCACGATCCACGAAGAACGCAATTAACTCAACTTAGCTGCAGAGACGGTCAGAATTAAAATAAATTGCTTTACAAATCGCCCTGTTGTGGTTTCGAATTCGCATAAAGTCATATTGCAACTCATGATCAAAAGTAAGAAAAAAACTCTCATGTTTAATCTATCCACTAGACGTACAGGTATTTCCACTGAAGTCACGACCTCGGCTTAAAACTGCTTAAAGGTTTATCTTTTTAAAAAGTGCGATTGCTAAGTGACATACAAATTCCTTTTTTGGAACCTCCCTTTTGGTTTTAATCTTTAAGAGATGTTAACGGGATTGAAATATGGTATCATGTTATGTGTTACTTCAGTGAACATGCTCAACTTTGAGCTTGTCATTGACTGAGCAGAAGATGCTTTTGTCCGAGGCGAACGTAATCCACGCGTCTTGATCGTCAAAGATCAACTCAGTTTAACAATTTATGTAAAATAGACCGAAACATTTTTGTAACAAAAAAATACAATATTTTGGGCCCCTTATTGCTGGAGAAACAAATTAATCTCTTTTTTATCTTACCAAAGTAATACAGTGGTGTTAACGTGGGTTGATGAATTTCGTCATTCGTGGAAACCATATATCTACAGTCAGAAAAACGTTCGCGCTACAATAGTTAGTGAGTGCACGGATTTCGCGTGACTCGACTGCGAAGAGCTTTGTAATTATTAAGTTATTTTTACTGGTTTACAGGGCTGTTTTGCAATGCTGGCATTCTCTCCGGTTCATATACTCTTTTGTTACGCCCTGCACGCTGGAATGAGGCACAGTCAAAAAGGAACAATCCCTTAACATCGAAATAGCCAATCCAACGTCACGTTTTAGCAATTACGTAAATGTTTGAATAGCTTTTCCGGATTTGCATACGCACTTGTTCATTCATTCGTGCAGCAAACATCGATCTGCGAAAAACACTTGTTGATACGAAATTAATATCTTCAGATTTGCCGATAGCCTAGTCGTGTTTGCTTCAGAGCAGTTGTCGGTAATTTTAAAACTCATGGCGCAAGTCAAACGGCCACAAGACCGCGCATACACTCCGTATGCAGTCGACAGCTTGGGTGACGGTTCAAGGAATGAACAAACCACGTTCAAGGGAAGCTATCAGAATCCGGCGTACGAAAATTCAGAACTTGCGCACCAATACGAAGACCCTTCTCGCCTTGCAGAGAAGGTTTTAAGCAGCACAGGAGCTCGGAAGAAACGAAATGAGCTATACGAACCGACTGAACTTAGAAAGTCTGACGAGCAAGAGAATTACAGCGATGCGGACCTAGTCGGTGACTCCTGGTTAAGCCGATTGATCTTATTTTTGATTCTCGTCGTTTCCCTGACTTCGCTTCTCCTGGTCGTGTTAATCATCCTGGGTAAAGTTGGACCGACTTGCTCTTGCAATGGGGACACCGAACAAGGTAAAGCCGTTTTTCAGTTAAATCTTCTTAAAGTTTATTCATTATGTTTTAGTTGTTTGGTTATCAGGGAAAAGTTTGAAACTTTTTTTAGAACCTCTGCATGGCTGATTGTTGACAGCATATTGGGGCAGGTTATCGCTCTGTGTCATCGAGAGATTGTACGTGCCTTTAAGATAACCTTTTTCGTTTTGTCATCCATACTAAGCCACTTGTTGTTTTTCAAAAGCAGGATTTAAAAGCGGCAAATTGAAAAAAGGTGCTAATCCCGCGCTCGTCATGTGCCATAGCGAGTGCCAAATTTAGATGGTGTTAATTTTCCCTGTTGAATAATTTTCAGTTTTCAAGCAATGATCGTGATTAGCTGACTGCGGAATTTTTCTTGGGGCGGCTCTCAGCAAAGACATTTTGTTTTTGTTTGCTTAACCCCAGCTCCTTTGAGCTTTTCGCTTCTTTTATTAATCAAGCTAAACGGGCCGGGTATTATACTCGATTTCTTTGTTGGTCCTCATGCATTACCAGCCGGCTTTATGAGTTCATTTGCTTAACTTGTTTTGATAAACAATGCATCAGTCTGACAAATTCATAATCCTCTGATGATCTGGCGGGTTGTTCATTTGTTTTAAATCCCGAAATCTCTATTCAGTGTTGTTAGAATACTCTTTTTTTTCATGCATGTCAGCAAGGGAACAGAAAGAATTTCGTTCGCTAGCTACAAGACCCTACAACTTCACTGAGTTCGTAATAAACATAAGGGAAACATAACTGTCTTTTAATATGCATTTTGCATATTCATTGACAATATAAGGAGTTCATTAGCGCTTATAAAATGGTTGTTTTCACTTTCTGTTCCATGTATATGGAAAGTTAATTTATGTTACGAAAACGAAAAGGATTAAACTCCTTGATCAGGGCCTAAAAATTGCAACAAGTTTGTCGAAAAATTGCGACGAGTTTAAGAACCTTGTAGAGTCGTCACAGGCCATGACTGGTACTGAGATGAAAGAAATTCTGAATTAACCTTTCCTGTCATCAATCTGTTTTTCACAGCTTTCTGATTCTTTTTAAGGTTACCAACTGACCTAGTTTTTACTTCATGCTTTACTCTGGATTTAACAATGATCTTCGCGTGTATTTGTTCTAATTTCCCTCGATTTGGAAACCTATGAAAGTTATGAACGCTTTACTCCTCACTGAGTCAGCTTAAAACTTGAAAAGCTCTCCATAGCAGAGTGCTTTCAGATGAGAAACGAGAAAGAGAGTCTTAAAATTTCAGACGCCATAAGTCATCATCTTGGCGGATAATACAGGGTAGGGAAGTTTTACTGGAAGGAACTTAAGAATTCTAGCCTGTTATCTGTAAGTAAAAAAGGTCAGTTACCTTAAAAAGCCGTTACAATTGGCTTGAAAGGGAAGTTATAACAAGGTGAAACGTCTGCTACCCTAAACATCTCCTGGTTTCATGTGGTTACATTTATTAAGGTCTAAGTTTGCAGACACGGGAGCTGATAGAAATCGGGAAAATTTGCAGCTACCACAATAAAGAAATCGATTTTCTTGATTTAATCAGTGACAACACCGGAATTACAAAGTGATCTAACTTTCAAGGCGGAAATCTGATTGAATACCGAGCACGTTACGGTTTCTAAAATCGTTGTCGCTTTGAAAGTGAAACAGGATAAGGAAGGACAGAATAGTTTGGTCACGCACATTGTCTTCTACTTTTAATCTTTTTTTTTTTAGCAAAATACTGCGTTTGCTAGAAAGTGAAAGACAACAGTAGAATGATATTAGCTACCAGCCTTCCTACCAGGCGTGTTTTGTGGCTAATTCTATGCCTAGCAAAAAATATCACAATTTCAGATTCTTTTGCCGTTGGAAGGTATGCGCTTACCACGTCACTTAATTTGGGAAATTATTGAATAGTTGCTTGAATAATATTTTACATTAGCAATATATCTAGTCAGTTTACATGTACATGTATTGCCTTGTTTTCTGTTTGCTTTACTCATCACACTGAGCTGCTTTGAACTCTTAGTGTACTGATCGAAAAAAGCGTTAAAATTGAATTATTGCCGGGACAATAGACAAAGTATCTTCATAAGCACAGATCTCAGTTTTCATTTTCCTGTGTCTTTCACTTATGATCAAAAATCTCGATTTAAATATTGAAATTATCAAAAAACAGCGTATTTTAAGATAAACCCTATTAACTTAATTATTTTACCTGCTCGAATCGATAAATTACTCGACATTTCATAATTTCTCTGTAAAGCTGATGCAAAATAGGATATTTTAAGTACATTGACCGTTATATAACGGGCTTATTGCATGGCGGTGTATATTAGCAGACCATAAACGACGATACGTGCTCGATAAACTGATCTGCCTTTGGATCAAACAGAACACCTGTTTTAAAAAAACCCACTCGTTACACAGAGCAGTATGATTTTCAATCAACATCTGTTTTTATATGCTAATTCTAGATGATGTATTTCATCACCAGCCATTTTCTCTTGATTTCACCAGTAACCCGTGTAGCTTTTTTCTCGTAGTTTCTTTCTAATCCTTTTATTCATTGTTTTTTTATTGTTCTGTGTTTTTTCTTCAGTTTTACCAAAAACTTTTTGAGTTGAACATACTTTTCATAACAACTTGTTTTAGAACGAGAACTCAGAGCATAATACGTGTGAATGAACATGTGTTTTAGAAAAAAGTTCTATTCGGCGTGTTCCGTTTGTTTCCAATCAGTTTATGAATTATTTTGTTCAGAATTTTGGCGAGATGATGGAAAAGAAAAGTTCAAAGAGTGATGTTATCGTGTTTTGGCTACGAAAGCGGTAAATGGAATCAAGTACATTGTACTTTCTTAGCCATGCACGACTGATGACGCAATAGGATCAAATTCCACTCAAGTCCTATGCGTGGCTTCCACGCATTCAACGAACCAATCAGCGATCAGTGTTTTGGCGGGTATTATTGCCGGCAATGTACTTTCAATGATAGTTTCACTCATTGATATTCGTGGTGGGTGTTGTATTATTGTAGTATTAAGCAAAGTGACAGAAAGTTTGGGATATTTTTCACTGCCAAAAAGTACGCTAAATTTGACCGGGAATGTCAACGGCTATCCCTCTTTATCCTAAAAGGGATTTTAGTCCTTACGCCGTCGATGAGTGCGACGTGCGATTCGAGTCACCTCGCTCTTCGCACTCGAACGCTAGTTTACTGACTAAACAGCCTCGGGACTTTGACGAGGAAAAAGGACATCAATATGAAGACCCTACGATCCTCAGCGATCAAGTTCGTGTGCTTCAAGAAGAGGGGAAGAGACCGAGAAAGCGATTCAATGACATGTATGAACCTCACATACCGCTCAAGAATTTAAAAGATTTACGGGTGCGGAGAACGACAGACGAGTCAATCTCTTCCGATCTGTCAGACACATATACGCGAGAATCATGTTTAAATCGCTGTATTTTATTTTTTGTCCTTCTGACGTCGGTTACGGCGTTAATTTTGGTGGTGCTTTTGATGTTGGGTAAAGTCGGCCCCTCCGTGGATCGATGTGCGTGTAATACGGAACAAGGAAACACGAAAGGTAAGCGAGTAAGACCATGCGGTCGGTCTGTAATATGGAAAGGCTTACCGCCGAGAAAAAATTATTTCTATCTTCACTGTTCATTTGATACACTTTATTTTCAAAAACAAAATAAGGGAAGTTATTTTTTTTGTAGGCGATCACACCACGGTGACTCCACGGTGGCCCGACAGCTTTTAAATTATTCATGACCGTGTGCGATGTAAATCTCTTTAGGTAACCATAGGAATAATTAAATCAGATGATCGTGTCTTCTAGAAGAACGTCAAACGTTCAGTGGCTTGTTCTCTCTGATATATGGCTTGTTTGTAACTATCTGTTAATAAGTAAGAACCGGTCATTGAATTTTCAGATCACAGACCTAGTATACAAATGTAAACAAAAAGGTGAAGTGATATTAGCAAGGTTTTCTCTCTTTTAAGTACTGTCCGATTGAAAACGCTCGTAAACAGAGAAATTATGCACCAAAGAAAGTAACTGTTAGTCAAGAATGAATTGTAAAACACAAATCGTGCATTTATTTTCGGAGATGCTAATATCATTTCCGCAATGAACTATTATTGACTGCATTCACAGCGAGGGATGAATCACACTCCACTTAGCTTTTATTGTACTATTGTAACACAATAAAACCACTCAATGATGAGTTTTAACGTACTGACAGTCCGAGCATACTTATGTTAATTTATATTGGTTATCATAGATGAATAACTGACGATCAATTCACATGCCAACCTTCCACATATGTATAGTTTGGTGTAAATATGTTTCATCGTCCTTTGTTTACTTCTATTTCATTCGAAACTTGACGCTCCAAGAGCGTTCACACAGGCTTCGTGTATCGCAATATTGAATGGTACTTTATTGGACACAATAAAAAACAAAAGAATCAGGATATTTAACCCAAGAGTAAAGGCTAGATATTTACTTTATTCAAGTTTCTCTGTCGAGTATCCTCGTCCAACTGCTTGTTTGTCGTACCTGCGAAATTCTGTTGGGGTGCGAGTACTCCCTTATATGGGCTATATAAGTATGTGTGGCCCCAAAGGGTATGGTTTTTCAGCTGTTTTTGTCATAAATAGGGTATCAATTTGGCCATTTTGGTCTTAAATAGGGTATGGTTTTTGTACTCTAGTCTTGAATTGGCTATGTTTTTAGAAGATGCCACATACTTATCATTATCAATAACACCATAAACAAAAACCTTTCAAAAATTGTGCTTAGGGCAACTGTGTCAGCCACAACAGTCATAAATAGGGTATCGAATTTTTGGTCTGGTCATAAATACGGTAGGAAAATCGCAGATTTTGGTCATAAATAGGGTGAGGGTTTTGGGAAGTGGGATGTAATCACACTGTTGGATTACTGATCTAATATTAGTTATTGTGGTGGACTGACATCAATTAATTTTCAATGGTATTAGGACATGGAAGAGTGTTTTCTCTTCACAATGAATAACTGATCTATATACTTGTCAACTAGATTGCACACTCGCTGATTCTTTTTATTTTCTTTTTCACATGCAAGATTATCTATGTGGATTTAGATAGGGTGTTGATGAGTCCTAAACAGTTGTGTTTTTATAGCAAGTTCCTTTATGTCCCCCCCAGGAATCCAGGGGAGCTTTTGTTATGCTTAAGTTATAATATGTGGTAATTACTTTATATAATTTTGTATTTTTAGTTTTTTGGTTCTTTATTCTTCTTGTCAAATCTAATCACTTCTGTCTATCAACAGCCATTGCTCCAAATGGACAACAACTTAGTGATTCTGGTCAGTCTCAGTCAGAATCTGTTGTACCTCCCCTTGATGTGCCATCAATTGAGGACAAGATCAAGGGACTGCAATTAAATATCTCACTGATTAAAACATTCATGGTATGATTTAGTCAGTTAGTAATCTGCATATGAACTTTTCTTAAATTATGCTAATTTTTCTTTTGTTTTAATTTGCTTTGTAATGTACACAGTACGTGTATATGACTTCGAAAAGTTTGTATGTGAGCCCATGATTGGCACACCAGACCAGTGCTTATCTCCGGTTTATGTAGCATGAAGCAACTAGGAGTATTTCTACTCCCGCCTGGACGGCATGCTAGTCCATCACAGGGCTACCCCTAATATCAAATTCACATTACTCAAATATACATCTGGGTGGATACTGAGGCACTGTGAGAGTAAAGTGTCATACCCAAGAAAACAACAGGGCTCGAACCCGGACTAACCATGAAACCAACGTGCCTCCCAATACCTCACTTTTTTTTTCTCTGATGATGTTCAGGTGGAAGAGGATGTGGTACTATTTAATGGGAGGGTCACCTTTCAATTATAAGTACTTTGGTAGAGGCAGTCTTAAAAACTAAATTCTTCTTGCATTGGACAAATATGTAAATGAATTATGCATCTGTCTTATTATTGTATTCTGTTGGTTGGAGGAGTTTGATTCATTACACCTCGCACTTAAGGATAAAATGAAACAGTTCAGCTTGAGCAGAATGTTTGGATTGGGTAAACTCAGAGTGGTTGCAGTTAAGCATTGCTTATAAATGCTGGTGGTTTTACATTTTCACAGGTCAGGCTTGAGCGAGACATTCATAGTACAAAGGGTGACTTGAATGATACTAATAGCAACATCATTGGAACAAAGGATCAACTCTCCCAACTAGAAACTGGAACAAGTGATTCTATTAGTAAGGTACATAAAGATATATTGTTTTTACATGTACAATGTACCTTTAGACTGAGGTACTGTATCCATTTAAGAGTTTCCAGAAAATGATAACATTAGCGAATAGTGGCTGTGCATGTATATACAACAGGCTGATATAGGCTTTTTACAGAATCTGATCAACACTTTTTCAACACTTATTTTAATAGATTGAGAACATCAGCCAGCAGCTTGATGCATCTGTTAGTGCTGTTAATTCAAGTTTCCACACGGAGTTGGCTTCTTTGAAATCCTCCTTCAATGCAAAGGTAAGTCCCTACACAAGAAGCTCTAGGTTAAGGGTTATGATAAGAATAGAGTCTGAATTATCATGTAGTTTATTGACTGACTGACTGACTAACTGACCAACCAACCAACTAACCATGGGATTGATTGATTGATTGATTGATTGATTGATGAAGGATTTCTGAATGTGCAAAAAAAACAACAATAAAGAAGTATGTGACTGTACATTAGTACTAGTTTGACAATTACACTGTTGACAATTTTGAAATATATGCCAGAGACTGTGTTAATTGTTCCAGAAAATATCCAAACATGTCCTCCCCACGAAATGTCTTTTTGTTTTGATTCCCCCCACCCCACTGCTGATACTTTCTTTTTGGCTTTTGAGACCCTTGATCTTTTGGAATTCCTAATAACCTTCTACCTGGAGTTGGGTATTGATATTTCCTGTACTAACTGCACATTACACATCTGTTGATCCAAAGCTCAAAGGCTATAGATTAGCTTGGAACTTTTGTGGAATACTTTCATTATACTAAATTAAGTTGAAATTTGGTAATGCCACAGACAAGATCCAAAACACATACATGTACTTTATTTGCTTCAGTGAGGCAACTGTTTTATTCACACACACATACGTACCTGCAGTATATAATAATATATTCAGT